TTTTGATTTATTGTAGAGATGAGGTCTTGCCAAGTTGCCCAGGTGGGTCTTGAACCTGCGAACTCAGGCAGTCCACTCACCTCAGCCTCCCAAAGCGCGGTATTACAGGCTGAGCCACCTAGCCGGCTGAGATGTAATTCTTGAGAAAGCAGGTGTCTAGCAGGATGCAGCCTTAGAATGCAACCTTGAGAAAGCAGGTGTAGGCAGTAAAAGCAGTTAGTGACAGGTAAGGGTAGAGTGGCCCGCTTCACAGGTCACTGCAACCCTACATCCCATTTGTGAGGTTCACACAGTGAGTTATTTTAACAATGGCCCCTCTTCCCCCATGTTAGCCCTATCACTGGGGATTTAACAGGAAATTTGGGGAGGTGATACAACTATAGGGGACTTGATAAGATCCTCATGTCAAATGTTGACCAGAAGCTGTCTACATACGCAGCCCAAACCGCTTAAGTGGGCTGGGCATGGTGGTTTCACACCTGTAATCCCAGCACTTTGGTAGGATCACTTCTAGGCCAGTGGGCAAGATAGCAAGACCTGTCTCTATTTAAACAAAAACAAACAAACAAAAATGCCTGATCTGGGTGTGGAACCCAGGTGTCCAAGGCTAGCCTGGGAAACATAATAACACAATGAAACTCAGTCCCAGTCTCCTCCCTCCCTCCCTCCCTCCCTCCCTCTCTCTCTCTCTCTCTTTCCATCTTCAAAGTACTCTCCATTTGTTGCAGTACACCTATTGGGATGCTTTCTCCACTACTCAAAACAGTTTTTGAACTTGTCAATTTTTTTTTTTTTTTTGAGTTGGAGTCTCTGGAGTGCAGTCTGCTCCCGGTCACCACAGCCTCGACCTGCTGGGCTCCGGCGATCCTTCTGCCTCAGCCTTCCAAGTAGCTGGAACTACAGGCGTGTGCTACCACGCCTGGCTCATTTTTTATTTTATTGTAAAGATGAGGTCTCACCAAGTTGCCCAGGAGGGTCTCGAACCCGTGGGCTCAGGCAATCCACTCACCTCAGCCTCCCAAAGGCGCGGGATTACAGGCTGAGCCACCGAGCCCGGTTTGAACTTGTCAGTTTTGATCCCTTCTGCCATTTTTTGTTTCACCTCTTCCACTTTGGCAAAACATTTCCCTTTGAGGAATTTTTTCATCGGGGTTAACTAAAAAAGTCACTTGGGGTGAGATCGGGTGAGTAGGGAGGGTGGGGCACAGGGGTCATGCTGTTTTTGGTCAAAAACTGCTGAACACTCAGTGCTTTGTGGGCTGGTGCACTGTCATGGTAGAAGAACCAATCACCTGTTTGCCACAACTTGGGATGTTTCTTCTGCAAATCATGACACATTAACTTCCAGATAAAACCTTTGGTTGACTGTTTGGTCTGGAAGAACAAATTCCAAGTGTTCTACCAGGGGCCTGCCCTCTAAAAAAAAAAAGGCAAAGAGAGAGAGAGAGAATATATTCCGGTTTCTTTTGTGTCCCCCATATACCTATCATATGATCCAGCCATTCTACTCCTAGGTATTACCTAAGATTTAAAAAAAAAAAATGTCCACACATAAACTTGCACACACATATCCATAACAACTTTATTTGTGATTACCCCAAAGTGGAACAACCCAAACAAATGTCCTTCAAGAGGTGAATGGATAACTGTGATATATCCACACAATGAACTATTGCTGAGCAATAAAAATGAACGAACTGTTTGTTTATTCTTTTTGAGTCAGAGTCTCACTCTGTTGCCCAGGTTGGAATGCAGTGGCACGTTCATGGCCACCCCAGCATTGACCTGCTGGGCTCCAGTGATCCTTCCAAGTAGCTGGAACTCAGGTGCACGCTACCATGCCCGGCTAATTTTTGATTTATTGTAGAGACGAGGTCTTGCCAAGTTGCCCGAGCTGGTCTCGAACCCCGGGCTCAGGCAATCCACTTGCCTCGGCCTCCCAAAGTGCTGGGATTGCAAGCTGAGCCACCGAGCCCAGCCTTGAACTGTTGAGCCAAGCCTCAACATGGATTAATCTTAATTATGCACAGTGAAAAAATATGATTTCCTGTATATGAAATCTCCTGAAAAGGCAAATTTATAGACGTAGAAAATTGATGAGTGGTTCCTTGGAACTGGGGATGGGAACAGAGATTGACTGCAAACAAATGTGCATGCACCTGTAGTTCCAGCTTCTTGGGAGGCTTTGACGGGAAAATCACTTGAACCCAGGAGTTTGAGAGAAGCCTAGGCAACATTGTGTGACCCATCTCTTTAAAACAAACTAGATTTTGGTGATGGATGCATAACATTACAATTTTCTAAAACAAAACATTAACAAAACCGTCATTGAATTTGGGGGTGGGAGTAGTTTTGTTCTTAGGTACTAGATACTCCTGAATAAAACATTCAGGTAGAATATCTGTCCTAGCAAATTAACATGCTGTGATTGAGGCTAACAAGAGAGACAGACCTCATCTGGGGCCACCCACCTGCTGTGGCTCTTTGCTGAGTCAGCCTCTTTGGGAGGGAAGTTGTGTGGTAAATTGTATTAAAATTCCTGGTACCCGGGAAAATTGTGCTCAGAGAACTTCATGAGGTTTTGTCCTGCTTTACTCTGTCTATGTCCTGCTAGTATTTTTAATGAAGTGATGATCCAGGGCCTACTGATTTTATCTATCAGATATTGAAAGCTCATCTGGTTCAGAGCACACTCGAATTCAGATTTTGTAAGTGAATTGCATAAAAGTCCGCAATATCACCCTGGTTAGAGTATCTAAGAGGGCAAAAATACAAATAGTCCCAAATGATAGACTTTAAATGTGTTTTATCTCCTAGGCAATCCTGCAGAACAACCTCCCTTCTGAAATTGCTAGCAAGATCAACCTTGTGGACCTAGCAGGCAGGTAATTAGAATGTCAAAGCCAAGGGGAATTACTTCCTTGACAATGATCTTGTTCTTGCCCATTTTACAAAGGATAAGCTTGTTCTAATCTTTTTCACATTCCAATCATCCTGAGAAAATTACAAAGAAAACAAACTCTTTGAATGCTAAGTTAAGAAATTATTATTTTCCAGGGCTGAAAAGTTCTTCTGCATCAGAGGTTCTTAATCTTGATGCCCGTTGAAATCACAGGGACCTTTTACAACTCCTAATGCCTGCAACTCAAATAAGTCAGATTATTAGTGAGGTTGGAGAAAGTGCAGGCATCAATGTATTTTAAATTTGCTCACGTGATTCCAACATAGAAGCAAGATTGATACTGCTCTAAGTGAAGGTAACTGAGCTAGCGTACCTTTTTTCTTACATTTAGTATTGATTTTATGCAGCTCTGTACTTGACTAAAAAAAGTTTTACTCGGTGGCACATACCTGTAGTCGCAGCTACTCCAGAAGCTGAGGAGAAGAATGGCTTGAGCCCAGGAGTTAACGGTTGTAGTGAGCTATTATGGTGCTAGTGCACTTCAGCCTGGTAATCAGAGTGAGATGTTGTCTCTTAAAAAAAAGAAAAACTAAGCGCTGTCTTAAAGAAACTGTATCAGCCAATTGGAAGTGTGACTTTTTAATATTTCTTAAAGAAATTTAAGACTCTTGGCAGTTAATGATGCAGATACCATAAAGCCATGAATATATGAATGTAAAACAATAAAGATAGAGGGAAAGTTAATATACCAAAAAACTTTGCTATTATGTAAATGCTCATTATTGTAAATGAGCATTACATTTAGCTTAAAGTGCTCTGACAGCCAAAGTAAGAACAATGTAATGTATTGTTTGATTTTTATTGCCTGAGAAGCCAAAGATCAGTTCATTACAAGATGATAACATTTTTTTTCTGGACCTAAATTCTGAAAGCAGTTTATTTTGTGGGTTTTTAAAAATCTGATGTACACATGCTGGATCTGTCTTTCAACAGCATTATATGGATAGTGTCTTGTTTGCTTGTGTTATGTTTCCATTGATTGTGTTTTAGTGAAAGAGCAGATCCCAGTTACTGTAAGGACCGGATTACTGAAGGAGCCAATATCAACAAGTCTCTTGTGACTCTGGGAATTGTCATCTCCACCTTAGGTATTTTGCTGATAGATTGGATGATTGGAGTGGGAGGGAGACTTTGAAAGATAGCACATATGTTTTCATTTTGTCAAAATGGGGTAGACAGAGAAAGACATAGCTTTCTGATAAGGTTATCTTCTGGTTTGGGGCACGAAAAATTGATATTTGTCTGTGGCTTTAGAGGGCAACATGACCATCTTAGTACTATCGTTTCAAAAAGAGGGGAAACTGAAAAATTGTGTGGCTCAACCACTCCATGTTATGAGTCCAAAGTCTAATACAGGACTCAAACTTAAAATATCCTATCAAATGCAGAAAGGGGTAAGGAAGTATGATACTTAAATCTGTGCTTCAACTGTTGTTTTGTTTTAATGCATTTGCTCCCTAATCTTTCTTCCATTTCTACATTTTGTCTTTTAAGCCCAGAACTCCCAAGTATTCAGCAGCTGCCAGAGCCTCAACAGCTTAGCCAGCAATGGTAGTGACAGTGGGATTCTTAGCTCTCCTTCTGGGACCAGTAGTGGATTAGGACCCTCCCGGAGGCAGTCTTACATCCCATACCGAGACTCTGTGTTGACCTGGCTGCTGAAGGACAGCCTTGGAGGCAACTCCAAAACCATCATGGTTGCCAGTGAGTGGATGCTAGAGTGAATTCTGTTTTGGAACTGGTACTCTGTTTCAGAGAAAGGGCCATGACTAGGTTTCTCATTTCATTGAGAGTCTCATAACTGTGGGTATTAGTAGCAAGGTGGATGATTAAGGATTGAAATGGAAGGGCTTGGCATGTTTTAAAACTTTTTCCTTTTATCTCAGCCGTGTCTCCTGCACACACTAGCTACAATGAGACCATGAGCACTCTGAGATATGCATCCAGTGCCAAAAATATTATCAACAAGCCACGGGTAAATGAGGTAAGACCTTCATCAGTGGTCCTGGTCTGGTATAGTTTACACAGAGTTCTCTTTTTTTTCCTCATTGATTTCTTTCTCTTTGTACTCACCCACAAATTGCCAGACTTTTTCTCTAAATGATGAGGGAGTGGAATTCTTTCTTTCAGTATCATCTCCTTCTCTCATGTCTCTACTGCCTCCATTTGGTAACAATTTTTTCCTCTTACACCCAGTGTGAAGAGCAGTAAGCTTTTATGAATAATTTATTTTGTTTTATTTTTTATTTAAAAAAATTTTTTTTTTTGAGTTGGAGTCTCACTCTCTCGCCCAGACTGTAGTGCAGTGGCTGCTCCCGGCCACCACAGCCTTGACTTGCTGGGCTCCGGTGATCCTGCCTCAGCCTTCCGAGTAGCTGGAATTATAGGTGCGCGCTACCACGCCCGGCTAATTTTTTGATTTTATTGTAGAGATGAGGTCTCGCCTGCCCAGGCGGGTCTCGAACCCGCAGGCTCAGGCAATCCACTCACCTCAGCCTCCCAAAGGCGCGGGATTACAGGTTGAGCCACCGAGCCTGGCTCGAATAATTTAAATATTTCTCTAAATTCATTCCTCTTAATGTTCCTTGGTATACCATTGCCACTCCAAAAAAGGTCACTTAAAAGTTTGTGTTTGAACTGGGCTCGGTGGCTCAGCCTGTAATCCCATGCCTTTGGGAGTGGATTGCCTGAACCTGTGGGTTTGAGATCTGCCTAGGCAACTTGGAGAGACCTCATCTCTACAATAAATAAAAAAGTTAGCCAGGTGTGGTAGCACACGCCTGTAGTTACAGCTACTTGGAAGGCTGAGGCGGAAGAATCGCTGGAGCCCAGCAGGTCGAGGTTGCAGTAGCCGGGAGCGGCCACTGCACTCCAGTCTGGGTGACAGACTGAGACTCCACCTCAAAAAAAAAAGTTTGTGTTTGCTGCAAAACCCGCGGGCTCAGGCAATCCACTCACCTCAGCCTCCCAAAGGCGCGGAATTACAGGCTGAGCCACCAAGCCCGGCTTATTTTTAATTTATATTAATTTATGCCTGTGTTTTTTAAAAAATGTAGGTTACCTATGTTTTTTTTTTTCTGTGCAAATTGCAATGACTTCTTTGTTCACATTAAAAGGAGAGTATAGGAATTTACTGGAGTTTTTTATTCTTTAATTTTTTTCTTTTGTTTTTCTACTCAGCCCACACAGAACTATTCATTAGTTTTTGAAATCTAGATAATAATGAGAATTTTCCAAATGTTCCTTATCTCCTTCACAATTTCAGTAAAAAGTTCCAGATCAGGGGTCATAGCTGGTAGCCAGACATATATGTATGTATACATGTATATAGCCCATATGTGGTGAACTATTTCAAAGGGCAATGCAATTAGGCAGGTATTAAGTTTAGTTACAATACAGGAAGATTAACATCTTCTACCTATGCATGCCTTGGCATTTGTGTTACCTGTTTGACGTGGTTTAGGGCCATGATTCTCAAACTTTTAACTGGAAGTTTTGTTAAAACACAGATGGGCCCCAGCCCTCAAGAGTTTCTGATTTTGTAGTTCTGGGGTGTCAACATTTGTGTTTCTAACAAGTTTTTAGGTGAAGTTGACATTTGTGGGTCTTGGGACTATACTTTGAGAATGACTGCTCTAGAGGTTGCTCTGAAGGAGCTATCTGCTTCTTCCAAGCTAATTGCATATAGCATTTCATTGCTGGGTGTGCCCTGGTATCAGTCAATTGTGACTGAGTTCTCTGTATTTCAGGATGCAAACATAAAGCTGATTAGAGAACTCAGAGAAGAAATTGAAAGACTGAAAGCCATGCTGCTGAGCTTTGAACTGGTATGCAGCCAATCAGAACTTTTCCATACTTCCGTGAAGTTCTTCTGAGCCTCTCTTCTTCTGCGTAGAGTCTTGGTTCTGCTGCATTCTATGTTCTCAGTTGACACTCATGGAGCAGAGGCAGGAGCAAAGACAAGAGGGAGATTTCTCTTTTTTGCTATATCATCTCTTGTCCAAAGGGCATTTGCTGGAATGGCCCTTGCTCTGTGTGGGCAGATATGGGGAATGGGGCTCTCCTGAAAAAATTTTTTTGAATTCTTCTTTGTACCAATATAAGCGCAAATACTTAGGCTCTTGATTTATTTCTGATTTTAATGATAAAGTCTTTCCTTTATGTGCACCTCATCTTCCTTCATAAATGTAAGGGTAGTATCCACCTGAAGTTAAACCAGCAAAATATCACAGGATATCTCTCTTTGTTTGTACAGAGAAGCTTCACTTCATTGAATGATGAAAAGGATAAAAATCTGAAGGAGCTGGTTCTCCAAAATGAATTGAAGGTATGTTGGGTAGACTTAGCTGTGTCTTATCTCACCCTGGGAGCTCCCTCCATTATTCCTTGGCCAGGGCTGCTCCCTTGGCAGGGCAGAGACGATCTGCTTAAAGACAATTTTATCTCCTTTGAGACTTGAGTAAGGGATATGTTTGTCTTAGGGACTGGTAAATGGCTTTCTGGCTTTCTGTTTTGTTCTCTCAGGGGTTCATAACTCCTTTGGTTAGTGAGAGTAGCGTAGAGGAAATAAAAAACTATTTTCTGGTAAGTCAGTCAATCAACATGTATTCATGAGGACCAAGTAGGTTCTCAGCATGATGCTGCAAAAGATACAAAGAAGTCCCTGCCCTCAAGTGGTTTGAAGTCTAGTTGGAAACACATATAGAGAATGGTGTGTTCCCTCAACTGTGTGATTTAAGGAGGGAAGAAATTATCATGGCTTGGAATTTTCGAAGCAGACGTCAGAAGTTTAGAACCTGGAAGGTAGAAAACTGACCTTGAATTAGCCCTTAAAGTTTTGATAGGGTTGTTAGATAGGGAGGAGAAATAAAGAATTTTGGATAAGGGAGAAGTAACATAAGCAAAGTCTTGGAACTGGAAGGAGGAAGTAGTATGAGAGGCTAGATAGAAGCACACATTGCAAAGAAGACTGATATTCATGGTAGAGTAGTAGAAGTAAGGTAAGGGCCAGTTTAGAAGGTTTACACTTGTTGTAAATGGGATTAACAGCTTCTTGAGTCAGATCCCTGAACATAATAGAGAAATATCTTGAGGAAATTAATATGACAGTTGTATGTAGGATTAATTGAAAGGAGGGATGATTGGAAGCTGGGAGACCAACCAGTAAAGAGACTGCTGTTATTAACCCAAAGGTGAAGACAAGACATTTTGGAAGAGTAGAATGAATGGGAATTCCCAGAAACATTTATTTATTTATTTGTTATTTATTTCTCTCTTTATTTATTTATTTATTTGAGTCAGGATCTCACTCTGTTGCCCAGGTTGGATTGCAGTGGCACTATCATGGCTCACCACAGCCTCAATCTCCTGGGCTCAGGCTGTCCTCCCTCCTCAGCCTCCCAAGTAAATGAGACTGTAGGTGCATGCCACCACCATGCCTGACTAATTTTTTTGATTTTTTTTATAGAGGCAAGGTCTGGCTATGTTCGAACTTCTGGGCTCAAGCAATCCTCCCGCCTCTACTTTACACAGTGCTGGAATTATAGGCGAGAGCCATGACTCACAGGCCCCAGAGATATTTAAAAGGAAGAAATGGTGGCATTTTTTTCTGTGTGTGTGTGACAGGTTACTTTTAGATCCCACAACCAGGTGTCCTAATTCTCAGTATTCTGTTGCATCATCCTTATATGTTATTAAAGTATCCTGACCATGACAACATTTTGTTACCCTAACTAAACTTCATGACCACATCACACATCCAGAAGTTTCTAAAAAATTATTTGTTTATCCATGTTATTCTGATTTTTGGTTCAGAAAATATCATCCCTCTATAATACGAGATTAAGTAGAAGAGCCAAAATCATTCCTAGCTCATTAGCATTTCTTCAGTATACAGGCCAGCTGACCTGGACTTGAATCTGTCCCTTGTTGGACATATGTTCTTAGGCAGTGTAGGAGTGGGTAATAAAAGCTGGCCAGAGGGATCCTGAACTCTAAGCCAGGGTATCCTGCCGCTTACCCGTGCTGGTGGTCTCAATCCAACCCAGTCCTTTACAGGTAACCTGTAGTTTCACTGGTTTTCAAATTTCATCTCAATGTGTATAACACTAAAGTAATGTTTCTGTGGTACATAAAATACTTGTACATGACCCTGGCATAATTTTTTTCCTCAAGTATTCCCTTTATGAGGAAAGTGCTTACCTGAATTTAATTTTTTCTGAGCTTCCTCAGTTCTTTCATTCCCAGAATAAGCTTCCTGCTTAGGCATCAATTTCCACCAAAAGAAGAACAAGGACCCTGCCTTCAACACTATTCATGTCCCTAAGGGGCATGAGAGCTCAATCAGAGAGAGCTCTTAGCTTCAAGCCGCCTAGCTTAGATATATTTACTTTTAAAACTTTGTTCCTGCTACATAGAAAGCACTCATATTTTGTTGTTATTTTTGTTGTTATTTTATTATCACATGGCCTTCCAGAAGAGTTCCATATGGTCTTAACTCTACCTGGGGAGTTTCGTCTCAGTGCTTTATGGGTCTTTGAGCTATATGCAAGCTCGTTATAACTCAAGTACTGCACCTTGGAAAAGAAGTGTTAGGTCATAGAAGGCTTCCCAAATATGGATCATATAGAAGTGGAATGGATGGCTAATATCCCAATGAATTTTTAAAAAGTAATAACATTTATGTTTTTTCTAATTATAAAAATGATACATGCTCATTGTAGAAAACTTTAAAAATAACATTTATTGAACAAACTTCTGTTTATAAAAGTAATACTTGCTTATTAAAGAAAACTTGGAAAACACAGTGCTGTAGTTGGAAGAAGGGACCTCTGTGGGGCTTTGTGAGGAGTATAAGAAAGAAATTCCCTGGGGGTATAGGTCAGGATGACCTTTAACCTTAATTCTGTTCCCCATGCTGATTGTCTAAGATCACCTCCTATACCTCTGCAGATAGACCAGCTGACTAAAGACTGGACCCAGAAATGGAATGATTGGCAGGCCGTCATGGAGCATTACAGTGTGGACATCAACAGGAGGAGGGCAGGGGTGGTCATTGATTCCAGCCTTCCACACCTGATGACCTTGGAGGACGATGTGCTCAGCACAGGAGTTGTACTCTACCACCTCAAGGTGAGGAGGATGATATAGGAGTTGTGCTCTACCACCTCAAGGTGAGGAGGATGATGTAGGAGTTGTACTCTACCACCTCAAGGTGAGGAGGATGATGTACTCCTTTTCCTTCTAAGCCACTGGCCCCAGAGGTCAGTGAGGGAAAATCCAGGGGCAGCAACCATGTTTCTATGAACTGAGACAGATGCTACAGAGCTGCCTTAAGGTTTGCTTTCAGGAAACTGGTCTAGCTGACAACTTATGACCTGTTTTGCTTTTGTATGTATAAAGTACAAAACTGGAAATCAGAATCATTCATATTCAACTGCTGATACTATTGTCTTTATGTAACTGACTTTTGTTCTCTGTGCCTTAATTTCCTCATTTTACTTATTTATTTAATTTTTACCTCCCATTACGTAGAAAAATACTTTCTTCATTTTATAGTAAGAATGGGATTTGTCACCTAGTTGCTTCAACTATTCTTAATAGACATGAACAGACAAGCTCATGCTTGTAATCCCAGCACTTAGGGAGGCCATTGCGGGAGGATCTCTTGAGTCCAGGAGTTTGAGACCAGCATGGGCAACATAGTGTGACCTCGTCTCCACAAAAAATAAAAAAATTAGCCAGGCATGGTGGTGTGCCTTTATAGTCGCAGCCACTCAGGAGGCAGAGATAGGAGAATTGCTTGAGTCCAGGAGGTCGAGACTGCAGTGAGCTGAGAATGTGCCACTGTATTTCAGTTTGGGTGACAGAGCGAGATGCTGTCTCAAAAAAAAAAGCAAAAGCAGAAAGGCTAGGTGTGGATATGGATAAATGGAGGAAGGAAAAGGAAGATTGGTCTTGAAAGCTGAAAGTTTGAGGAGTGTGGTGTCCATGAAAATGAGTGCTTAGATCTGTAGCTGGAAGCATAATTGACTGATGCTCCAGTGGCTGTCCTTCTGCAGCTACCTCTGCATGTGCTAAGGCCACATATAGCCCCAAGCTTCTCCCAGTCATGACCATGCACAATAGAGGCTCCTATTGTAGGCTCATTCCTATGGGATGCAAGATCTTTCCAGTGGGCCGTGTTGACTTGAGAACTCTCATTGGCTTGACCAGACCTTTTTTGTAACTGTGTTGCAATTTAAGGCTTCCTAGCTGTTCCGCTTCCTTCCCTCTGTGTGTCCATAGGTGTGACTTGAAGGACCTCCCACATTCTCTGGCTTCCTTCTTCAGTAAATCTTCTGTATATCTCGGTGCCTGCTTCTCAGTAGACCCAAACTAACATAAAGAATGTAGTCAAAATTTGTGTATTATTAAGGTAACGCCAGTTACTATAAAAGTAACTTCTCAACTCAACAGTGGATTTAATTATTTCTCTTTTTTCTTTCATTCCTGTCTTCTCTCTCCCCCCTCTTTTCTTTCCCCTCCCTCTCCCCCCCTCCTTCATCCCCCTTCTTTTTCTTTCTTTTGTCATTGCAGCCTCAACCTCCTGGGCTCAGGGAATCCTTTTGTGTCAGCCTCCCGAGTATCTGGGACGACAAGTGTGTGCCATTGCACATGGCTAAATTTTAAAAAAATTTTTGTGCAGGTGAGGTTGCACTGCATTGCTCAGGCTGGTCTTGAATTCCTGGACTCAAGCAATCCTCTTGCCTAGGCCTTCCTAAATGCTGGGCTTATAGGCATGAGCTACTGCACCAGGCCTTCATTTCTTTTTCTTTTTCTTTTTTTTTTGAACTGGAGTCCCACTCCATCTCCCAGGCTGGAGGGCAGTGGCACACTCATGGCCACCTCAGCGTCGACCTGCTGGGCTTTGGTGATCCTTCTGCCTCAGCCTTCCATATAGCCAGAACTCCAGGCACATACTACCTCGCCCGACTAAATTTTATTTTTATTTTTTGTAGAGACAAGGTCTTGCCAAGTAGCCTGGGCTAGTCTTGAACCCGTAGGCTCAGGCAATCCACTTACCTCAACCTCCCAAAGTGTTGGGATTACAGGCTGAGCCACCGAGCCCCCTGGCCTTCATTTCTAGGAGAAGCAGGTTTGAGAGTTCAGTGACCCATGGTAGATAGTCTCATATCCTGTTCTCATCAAATAGGTCCTACTATAGGAAGACAGTTCCTATGTCTGACAGAACATACTTAATGAGGTCAAAATCCCTGTGCTCACTGAAAATCCAAATTCTGTTCTCATATTTTCCCCAGCTGACATTTGAAAAGAACAGAAGAACAGTTTATGGGAATATGTAATTCTGCTGTTATCCCTGGGGAAATTAGGCTCCTGATGCTGCAGACCATATGGAAGTGAGGTGTTAGTAAAGCTCATCTGTGTTCTTAGGATTAGCCCTTAGGGAAGTTGTGAGAGAATGAACCTTGCAGAAGTAACTTTTTTCTGGGCATAAACTATTTCAGTGAAAATGCCTCAGACAGAGGTGGCTGTGAACTTTTACCCTAGCAACAGATCTAAATACCAAATGACTGTATAAATCCTTCCATTAGTCAGAACCACAGGGAGAGGTTGGGGATCAGGAAGCTATTAGATTGATTAAAATGGTCAGGGTTTGAGTGTAACTGATCTGATATATTGATTGGATGTGGAGTGAGCAGATGGAACTGGAAATCAAGTAGTAGAGCTTAGGGTAGCAGAGTGATGACTTCATCTGAATATAGGATTACTGATTTTCATTATTTAGTCAGTGCATAGTGAGGATTTTCTCTCTCCTTTGTTTACTTGCAGTGGACTTGGGTGAAGAAATTTTAGTCTATTTCTAATCCTGGCATTTCTGCATGTACCCAATTTTTCCTTTTCTTTTTGTTTGCTTAGATATTGGTTTAGGTAATAGTATCATATTAGTGATTCAAGATTCTCTGTCTTTTTATTTACTTTGCTAACTTGGTAACAGACCTAGAATTAGTCCCAAGTATTTGCTGGAAGCTATTTTCTCTGAGGTCACCTTGGGACATTCTTTGGGTAGGAGGAAGCAGAAGGATAGGTAGAGCACAAGTTATGGATATCCTGGACTTCATCCTCGTAATTGCCTTTGTGCCACTAACTCTCCCTGCATAAAGAGTCAAAGGAGGCAGCAAACACATGTTCCAATTCAGGCCTTGTTATCTATTAATAAGATTCCATCATCATTCCCAAGTCGCCTTGGGGTAGTTTTTTTTTTGTTTTTGTTTTTTTTGAGTTGGAGTCTTACTCTGTTGCCCAGACTGGAGTGCAGTGGCACGCTCCCGGCCACCACAGCCTCCACCTGCTGGGCTCCGGCAATCCTTCTGCCTCAGCCTTCTGCCTCAGCCTTCCAAGTAGCTGTAACTACAGGCACTTGCTACCATGCCCGGCTAATTTTTTGATTTATTGTAGAGATGAGGTCTCGCCAAGTTGCCCAGGCAGGTCACGAACCCGCAGGCTCAGGCAGTCCACTCACCTCAGCCTTCCAAAGCGTGGGATTACAGGCTGAGCCACCAAGCCCGGCTTAGGGTAGTTTTTGTTCTGCAAATCTAGAAGTTATGATGTACTGTGGCCTTTATCCTTTTGGGAGGAATGTGCCTCATTATCGGGACTGCCCCTGAACACATGTGAAGGGTTTTGACCTTTTCTCCTTGAACTTCCCTCTGATTCTGTTTGACAGTGTTTGAGAAGGCTAGCATCCTTGACTCGTGGTCCTCAGTGGCTGGGCAAGAAAGGTTGGGCTCTGGCTGTTTGTGTGTATGTAGGGAGGAGAGACAGAGGGGAACACAGTAAGACCAGAGCCTCATTCATTACGCCCGGGATTCCTCCTCCTTATGTGTTATTTTGGGGTAGCTGCAGGACCTCCCTGCTCTGGCTGTTGACAGTGAAGCCTAGTAGGGAACTTCTGGTTACCATGAAAACCTTAGTTACTGGGAAGGTAGTATGGTAAGGCTGGAAAAGTATATCTGTATTCTTTTTTTTTTTTTTTTTTAAGCAGGATTTATTGAGAGGACAGAAAAGCTCCCACAGTGGGAGGGGTTGCCTGAGATATCTGTATTCTAATCATAGCACTCCTATTTGGTCTGTGGATTTCTTGGGAGATTTATCACCAATAAGCTTCAGATTCCTCATCTATAAAAAGAAGATGTTAGACCAGGTATGGTTGCTCATGCCTGTAATTCCAGAGCTTTGGGAGGCCGAGGTGGGAGGATTGCATGAGGCCAGGAGTTTGAGACCAGCCTGGGCAAGATTTAAAAAAACAAGAATGAGGACCAGGCTCTGTGGCTCAGCCTGTAGTCTCAGCACTTTGGGAGGCTGAGGCAAGCGAATTGCCTGAGCCCGCGGGTCGAGACCTACGGGGGCAACTTGGTGAGACCTCATCTCTACAATAAATCAAAAATTAGCCGGGCGTGGTAGTGTGCGCTTGTAGTTCCGGCTACTTGGAAGACTGAGGCTGAAGGATCACCGGAACCGAGCAGGTTGAGGCTGTGGGGGCCGGGAGTGTGCCACTGTACTCTGGCTTGGGTGACAGAGTGAGACTCCAGCTCAAAAAAAAAAAAAAAAAGAAAGAAAGAAAAAGGATGATAATACCTACATTGAGGATTGTTAAAGGATTAAATAATATGATGCCTACAAAGCACAAAGCCTTATAACTGGGATGTACTGAATGATCATTCAATAAATGATAAAGATTTATGTAAAATTTAACATCTCTATTGCTGTGTTGCTGCCTTCTCCAAACAGGGCTATATGGTCTTAAGGAGATTTGCCATAATCCAAGGGCCAAGAAGCCTTGTCTTCTGCTAACCCAGTGATTCATTATACTAACTCCAGTCTCCCCTTCCTCTCTGTACTCTCTTCCAGTATTTTTTTATTCTAGAGGTGCTTTTCTCCATTTGCGCTTTACCCTTCTTAGAATCTGGTGTCTGTTAAGCTTCATCTGCGGACCAAGAAGGTAAAAATTCTGTGTTTCCATAAATCTTCACGAAACACTTATCTCTTTGAGACTTACAGGACCAAACTTTGGACCACACTAACCTTAGCTCCTTGGGAGAAAGCTATACTTTTGTCTGTACTTCCTCAGACTGGAGAATTTCTGAGCAATAGCTGTGGGTATTTTCTAACTTGGATGCTACAGAACAGAAAGGAGTTTGTGAACACTTGTTGTGCATTGCAAATAGCTGGTGCTTCTTTGTTATATTTTTTACCTCTACCATCTCGGGTGCTTTCTGTAGAATGAGTGACCGGAGGATGAGAACAGCCTGGACCAAAGTTGAGAAGTGTACAGACAAGGCTGGGCTGGGAATAGGAAGACAGTGATAGCACTAAAATGTAGACTCTCCTTTGGGGGCAGGGCTATGTCCCTTTTTATTCTCATTAAAATTAATGTTTTTTTCCTTTAGGAGGGGACAACAAAAATAGGAAGGATTGACTCAGAACAGGAACAGGACATTGGTAAGTGACAGAGCATATAGGGCAAGTATTTGTATCTGAAAGTTTTCTTCAGAGGAATCTGATGATACTCTGAAAGCAAGGAAATCTTTAAAGTATTAAGGGTCTGCTTCTCTTTCTGCTGCTAGGTCTTGATCTAGAACATAATAGGAGGAGACCAACACAGTGGGAGGATTTCAGGGGTGGTTTCTGGTGGTGGCCCCTCCTCTCTTGTTATGGTTTGGGATCTTCCAAATGTTGGATTTTGATCTTATAGAAAGAATGGATGGGATGTTTCCATAGATTGTCCTCCCACCCGCGTAACCACCACCTTTTCTGTAGTCCTGCAGGGTCAGTGGATTGAGAGAGATCACTGCACTATCACCAGTGCTTGTGGAGTAGTTGTTCTCTGGCCTGCCCAGGGGGCCCGCTGCACAGTCAATGGGCGTGAGGTCACTGCCTCCTGCCGTCTGACCCAAGGTAGGACTGTCTACAGCCCTGTTTATAACAGGATGAGTGATGGACCAGCTCCAGTTTCATGGGCCCAGAAAGCTCAATGAAGCAGGCTTTAAAGATGAATCACCCAGCCTCTGCACCCTAAAATCTGAAGATTTTCTAATATGATCCTATTCCCATAAATAAACTTTAATTCCAGAGCCCCTGAGTGAAGAATGACTCTCTGAAATATGTACCTGTGTTCATTAGCTCTGTGTCCTTGGAAAGTCTCTGAGCCTTACTTTTCTTATCTATAAAATAGGGATAAAATAGGATCACTGTGAGGATTGAATAAACTTTTTGCATGTAAGGTTTTCTTTCTTTCCTTTTTTAATTGTAGTCTCACTCTGTTACCCAGGCTGGAGTGCAGTGGCATGCTCATGGCCACCACAGCCTTGACCTGTTGGGCTTAGGTGATCCCTCCACCTCAGCCTTCCAAGTAGCTGGAACTACAGACACATGCCACCATACCTGGCTGATTTTTGTGATTTATTGTAGACACGAGGTCTCACCAAGTTGCCCAGGCTGGTCTTGAATCCCCGGGTTCAGGCAGTCCTCTTGCCTCGGGCTTCCAAAGTGCTGAGCCACCACACCCAACCTTTTTTTTTTTTTTTTTTTTGAGTTGGAGTCTTTTTTTTTTTTTTTTGTCTGTTGTCCAGGCTGGAGTGCAGTGACACGCTCATGGCCACTGCAGCCTCGACTGCTTGGCTCAGGCAATCCTTCTACCTCAGCTTTCCAAGTAGCAAGACCACAAGCACGCGCCACCATGCCTGGCTAATTTTTTGATTTATTGTAGAGATGAGGTCTCGCCAAGTTGCCCAGGCTGGTCTTAAATCCGTGGACTCAGGCAATCCTCTCACCCCTGCCTCCCAAAGTGCTGGGATTACAGGCTTGAGCCACTGTGCCTGGCCATAAGGTTTTCAGCAGTGTGCTTGGCACTTAGTAAATACTCATTGTCATTATTACTATCACTACCACTACTATTATTAATCTGTCCAAATTCTGTCTGTCCTGTGAGACTAAGCTTAGATTTCTCCTCTTTCATGAAGCTTTCCTGTCTACTCTACCTGGAGCTCATCTTGTTTTGCCTTGGAGTAGTAGAGTTCTTCCTGTCTATTAATTCATTACATATGTTGTGAGATACATAATTAGATAATCAACTCAGCTAAATTATCAATTATCAGCTAAAGTATCAATTATTGAGGGCAAGACTGTGTCTCCTAAAACAGTGCCCTGCATGTAATATGAACTAAAAAACATGATTGTTGACCAAGTTCTCATTTGTTTCTACACTGCAGGGGCTGTCATAACCCTGGGGAAAGCACAGACATTCCGATTCAACCACCCAGCAGAGGCTGCTGTCCTGCGGCGGCGAAGGCAGGTTAGCATAACTGGGTTTCCTTGGTTGTTGCTGGTCTCCCTATTTCTCCTTTTTAGGGGGGAAGCTTGAGCTTTGTCTGGTTCTGTTGGATGAGAGGTGATGATGGCAACCTCACTCTGCTTTCATCCTTGTTCTAGGTTGGAGAGGCTGTTGGTGGCAGTGGCTCTTTGGAGTGGCTGGACTTGGATGGAGATCTTACTGCCTACCAGCTGGGTCTCTACCCTTTGTTCTGGAAGAAAAGGTGAGAAATAGCCGTTTACTGATGTGGCACCTACTGAGTTTGCTGCTTAAGCCATTGCAACTTGAAGCAGGTGATTTGTGTAGCAGCCAAGGTCTGAACGAGGCTGGTCTTAATCAACTTGGGCAAGTAATTTGAAGAATCTAAACTAGCTTCTAAGTTTGCAGTTGTCAGGGAAGTGGTCTTGGCCTTCACTGATTTCCTCTTCGGCATTTCAATTTCTTTATCACTGAAAAAAGTATATTATTTGATGTTTGTGTGGCCACTTTCCTCTCTCAACAAGATTTAACTGTGATGTGTTTGGAGATCACTTTGATTCTGAACTTATCTTTCTGTATATCTCTTTAAATTCTACCTGCCTGTGTGTGAGCTCATGATGTATATAAGTTAACTTTCAGAATTTATGGCTTTCTCTGAAGTTTGTAAAGTTTGCACAACTGAGAATTCTTTTCTCATAGGCAAGTATTCAGAACTATGAATAACAGGGGCAGGAAATAATGTGAAAGTATCTTGGGGTTCTACCTTTCTCAAGCCCACTTTATCTGCCTTGTGACTATGAGGCATTCATTGTTGTATACGATTTATAATAACTACTTTTTTATTTCACATCTCGACCGTTTCTACATACAATCCCCTTCCCAGGTCTAGATGCTTTGCAGATTTGGTACTGAGAGTCCTTCTGTTTCCATAAGTCAAAGTGATTTCTGCCTAGTGATTTCCTGTAGAAAATTTCGGCAGGGAACTAGCTGCCTTTGACATCACGGGTATCAGGAGGCTTCCATGCACCCTGAGCACAGGGTTTTTTGTAGGGTTATAATGGCCTTTGGTTCCTCCCGGAGTATCTAGCTGCTTTTTCCTCAGGCCAGCAGCATTTGATGGCAGATGAAGGCAGTCTTGGGTCTGACCTTGGTAGTGAGGGATGCTGGATATAGGAGTAGAAATGTTCGGACTCAAGGATCATGAATAGCTGTTAGGTCCTCACAGAGAGCTCACAGAGAGGGATGAAGGATGCTACAACAGAGCTTGAATGGAAGATGATCCTAGTGTCAAGTAGCTGAGAGCTCTGGGGGATGAGGAATAAGTCAGAAGATGTGACACTGGGTAGAGAGTATCAAGGCCAAGGCAGACTCAGGACTGAGGCTGGAGCTTTTGCTTTGTCAGAGTAACTCTCCTTTTTGGTAGTGAAGTCATGAGATCAGAGCCTGCTTTAGGTAAGGTTTGTGTCAGGAAGACTCATTGAAGAGCTCTTTTTTCTCAGAATTCAGAGGTTTACAGAGAATAACACTGCAACTTAAAGAGCCAAGGATGTGGAAGAGATACATTGCAGTTAGACAAAACTGGCTTGCATCCTGCCTGTACTACATAAAATATGTGTGGCTTTAGGCAAGTCACTGAGCTTCTGAGACTGTTTCCTCACTTCTAAGGGAAGGATATTGCCATCTCTTTCCCAGGGATTCTCCTGATAAAGGTTGAAAGAGCGAGAGTATGTGTACAGTACTGACATAACCCCACAGTTCCCTCTGCTGGGAGACTGAGGAAAAGCTGCCACGGAAGGCTGCCTCCTTTTCTCTTTCCCATCCTCTCATCTCAACCCAGCTAATCCACCCACCCCAGTGTTTACTGTAGTCTCTTGGCTTTTATTTTATTTTATTTTTGGGGGGTTGGAGTCTCACTCTGTCACCCAGACTGGAGTGCAGTGGCATGCTCCTGGCCACCGCAGCCTCGACCTGCTGGGCTCCAGTGATCCTTCCGCCTCAGCTTTCCAATTAGCTGGAATTTCAGGCGTGCACTACCACACCCGGCTAATTTTTGATTTATTGTAGAGATGAGGTCTTGCCAAGTTGCCCAGGCGGGTCTCGAGTCCGTGGGTTCAGGCAATTTACTCACCTCAGCCTCCCAAAGCGTGGGATTACAGGCTGAGCCACCGAGCCCAGCTGTCTTTTGGCTTTTAAAAGTTTTCTGTGACTCTAGCCCCATGGGCACTGGCATGACCTTTCAGAAACATCAAGAATGTGCCCTTTCAGAGAGGACAGAGGGATTTCAGAATCAAGGCCTCTCCTACCCCTGCCTCCACTATTCTGTACCAGCTGTAGAAGCCTGTAGGCTGGGTTGATCCTGCCCAGCTACCATAGGCAGCATCTGTGTGCCAGCCCTTGGTGGAGGTGGTGTGGTGTGATACTCAAGCCTGTGATTGGGCAAAGGGATCAGGGAGAGGAACTCGTAAGAGCAAAGAAAAATGCACATTGTCAGCTGGGCTCCCAGTCTGGATTTGTTGCTGTGTGTCCATAAGAGTCTCTCCTTCTGCCCTTGGATTATGTTGCTCCAGAGCTTCCCCTTGTCCTAGGTTTTCTTTCCCTCATTTATTTCTGTGCAGCAGTATTCGGGAGGAGCTTGCAAAGCTGGAACTGACTCCAGAGCCTGGGAAATCTGCCTTCCTTTTCTCCTTGCGACAGTTATCTGGACCAGAGAGGAATTTGTCCTTGAGTACCATTGCCTGTATTCTTGGCATTTTCCCATTTGGAGTTTTAGGGGCTTAACCTTAAGTGCCTAGAGCCTGGGAGACACTGTTGCCGCTGCCACTGCTGCCGCCGCCGCTGCTACCACTGCCACTGCTGCTTTAGTAAGTAGATGCTGCGCATTCTGCTGCAGAGCCTGCCAGACCCAAAGGCGGCAGGGAAGGGCTGCAAGAGGAGGTGGGGGAGGGTGCAGTGAGGTCCTGACAAGCAGGTGGACCAGGCAGCAGCTGGGGGATAGTAGAGCCACTGAAGATGAAGGGCAGTCATCTGATAGAGACAGACAGAGGTTCCTTGGCTGGCAGGTAAACGAAGACTTGCCCTTTGCAGTCTACCCAGATGTGTAGCATAAGTGCTATTTTCTTTTTCACCGGCTTTCTGGGAACTCAACTAGATGTTCTTAGCAGAGGAGACATTCTTTCTGATTGTGTTGCATCTTAGGTAAATGTGCTGTGTTTGTGTTGATCACCTCAGACTGCCTCTCCTTGCAGGTCCTATTGCTGCTATGAAGAAAACTATATCATATTTACCATTTTCCTAGAGGAAAGGTTGAGGGAGCGCTCTTCTAGGGGGAAGCAAATGTAAATCTGAACTTTAGGGAGATAGCCAGAGAAGGAAACAGTAATCTCAGGGAAATCAGAATAAAGTTCCCCTTCCCTACCTCTTGCATCTGGTGATCTGTGGACCTTTGCTGGGTTTGTCTAGGACCTTTTGAAAGGCTCACGTTTGTAATTCAGCCATTTCTGTGGTGAGACAAAAGTTGGAGCAGTAACACCAGCATGATATATATGAATAGATATATAAAATGTTTCCTATGAGTTACTTTTCCTATTTGTTTAGCATTTATTGGCTTTCTATTCCAGTTGCTATCCCAAGTCTCTGTGTGGCAGAGGGTACCTTTTTTCTTTCTGTATGTTCCACTATGCGTATTTGGCCTTTTGTCCACTGCAGTCAGCACTAATCCTTCCCTGAGTACACTTGCTTAGGTATCTTGGACTCGTTGCAGATTGAATCACCTTATAGCCTGCTTCCCAGTGAAGAGACTGTGGGTGTGTCAGCTCCCACCCCCACCCCCATCATTCTCCACTCATCCATCTTTCGCTGTCTTCCCAAGGCTGCATTATGAAATCTTAACTTCTTCCAAGACAGGGGTAGTAAACCTTTTCTATAAAGGGCCAGATGGTCTGTGCTGCAACTACTCAACTTGTTTGTTTTTTGAACTGGAATCTCACTCTATCACCCAGGCTGGACTGCAGTGGCATGCTCACGGCCATGGCAGCCTCGACCTGCTGGGCTCAGGCTATCCTTCCGTCTCAGCCTTCCAAGTAGCTGGAACTACAGGCATGTGCCATCACACGCGGCTAATTTTTCTTGATTTATTGTAGAGATGAGGTCTTGCCAAGTTACCCAGGCTGATCTCGAACCTGTGGGCTCAGGCAATTCTCTCACCTCGGCCTCCCAAAGAACTACTCAACTTTACAAATGTGATGCACAAGCAGCTCTAGACTGTACATAAATGAATGGGTGTTGTTGTGTTCCAATAAAACTTTATATACAAAAACAAGCAACCAACCAAATTCGGCCCACGACTTTTAGTTTGTGGAGCTTTTCCTTGATACCCTCTGTGATTTCATTCTGGTCTACCAAGTGGTAAATCTCCTAAAAAGAGTGCATCCCTTACAGCACACTGTCATACCACTTGGGATATGGTTCTAGCATCGAACCAATAAGCGAACCTCTCTAAGCCCTTAAGTCATGATGTCCTGGGAGTGCAGTGAGTGCTGAGGGCTGGATGAAGCAAGCTTGATTCTGGCTTCTTTGTTAGCCTCTGGCAGAATCTGACTCTTCTAGTTGCCCTTTGCCAACTCTGGAGCACCTGTTACAGTTGGTTTCTTTAGAAACCTGAATGACAAGAATGAAGGTACCCTGCAGAAAAAGATTTGAGGTCCTTATGTGACCCCAGAGAAAGGTCAGCAAGTAGGTAGAAGCTGTCAGTTTTCAGAGGAAATCTCAGACTAATCCATGGTTATACAAGAACATGGTGACAGAGTAAGGCATGACTACAGTCTCGAATTCTTTATAAACTGTTTATTATACTATGGACAATTTCAAATACAACACAAGTTATCAACTCATGGCTAATCTTATTTCATGTACATCCAACACTCATTTCCCCCCATTCCTTCCCACTGGATCTGGACACATTCATGATGGATTTCACCAGTAAATGTTTCAGCATATATCTCTGAAAAGTGATATATGGTAGAGTCGAAAACTCTTGAATTCGAATCCAGGGCTCATTCACTAAGAACAGCCCTCAAGTGGATACCAGCTTTTCTTCTGCCACACATACAGGTATGTTGCACACTGAATCTCTCTCTCCCTTCTGAATCAGCTGCCTCTTGCAACCAGATCACAGAGGATTTGTGTTTCAGAGAAAGGAGGTATGGTACTAATCTCTGAGTATATAGGAGAGAGTTTTCATTCCTATCATGTTTCAGAGCTTCTGCTCTATTCGGTATTTCCAGCATATTTTTAGCAGATACCTTTTTTATTTTTTAAAGGACAAAATTTCTTGATTTAGCAATGTTTCTGTGTCCTTTTAAAAAAATTTCCTGGTGATTTTTCTTAAAATAAATTTGTGTTTTTGCTTAACTCACAACCCTAAGTATATGCCAGTTTAATGATCATTCTCCCTTCTTGTACTGTGACATCACGAATTGCTTATGACACCATGCCTGTTTGTCCCAGGTTGCCAGAAGTTCAAAGCCTTCTCTACCCTGTTGAATTCAGGGGCTCTCTCAGAAGGGCTTAAACAACCACCACTTTGTCCTGAGCTTGATTTGCATTTCCCCCTGGGTAATCCTGACTGCTTCTATAATAGGAGAGTACTTGAAGAGCAATGTGACAAGGACCATCAGCCACTGAGGGATAGAGAGACATCTCACAGGGCCCAGATTCAGCAGCAGCAGTGCTATGTAGAAGGTTTGAGGCAACAAATCCTAGCAGAAGAGATTAGAGCTGAGAAGGAACTGGAATTTGACCAGGCTTGCATCAGCCAGCAGATAAAAGAAAGTAGGTGCCTACCATTTAAGGTATCTGTTTTGCCTTCTAATTTCTTTATTTTCATGCTTGCCTAGCCTCTGTATTCTTTCCTTTGTTTTCTTTGTGATATGATGGAATCTTTGGTATTGGGTATTCCCTCCCTTCTTTTAGAGACCAGAGGTTCTAACAAGGGAGCTGGCAGCAAGAATAAAGAAGCTACCTTCTTATTGTCCCTCAGAATGATGGGCTTTCTACTCATTTCTTCTCACTTGCACATCTGTCCGTGCCTTACTGCCTGCCCTAGCATATGCCCACTGTTGTGTCTCTGGTCTTCTGAAGGCAGGGAGGGAGGTGCTGAACTACCCTGGATATTTTGGTTCCCAGACCAGCAGTGGCTGCTCAAAGAAGAGACCTGGTTGGCCAGCTTGCAGCAGCAAGAGAAAGAACTTGAGGCATCCGTGGCACCTGATGTTTGGCTTCAGCTAGGTCCTGAGACTCAGCCATCCCCACTTGTCCAAAGTCAGAAGAGAGTGGTGCAGCTGCAGCTCCTGCAGAGACATACTCTTCAGGCAGCAGAGCGAAATGTCCGGCAGAAAAAGGTCTCATTCCATCTAGAGAGAATCATCAAAAAGCAGAGGCTACTAGAGGCCCAGAAGAGACTGGAGCAACTGAGGACATTGTGCTGGTTCCAAGATGACAGCAGTCAGGAGCCGCCTTACCAAGTCCCCAACCCTGATGTCACAGTCCCATGGCCTCGACATAGAAGCAGATCAGCAAGTTGCAGTTCTTTGAGCCTCCGAAGGCTCTGCAGCCAACAACTGCCTCAGCTACGCAGGTACAGCCAGTGGTTGTCACCCAGAAGTACTTGGTTAAAGTTTGCCACCTTGTTGCCAGGGCAGTATTCTTTACTCCTCAGAGCTCTCAATCTGTGAAATGGAAAAGATATGTATACTCTTCTCTTCCTCATCATTTCCCCCCTTCTATCTGTTCTTCTTTCTCTATATATCTTTTCAGATTCAGGCTTCTCTCTTCTCCCTCAATTTCAGAGTAGCAATTCTTGCTTTTTTGGTAATATCTTCCAAGTAATGCTCTCTTTCAGCTTAATTTTTCATCTGCTCTTTAGACCTGGATCTGTTCTTTAGACACCTCAGTCTCACATGCCTCAAACCAGACTTCTTCATTCCCATGCCTGTTAACTCTGTCCCTCCCCGACCCGCCACATCAAGTGAACTTCCTGACCCCACTTCCCACCGGGTTCCAGTTGGGATCTTCCTTGTTTCTTTTCTTCATCACTCCTTATATGCAGTCAAAGGGAGGGTATGTTATCTCCCAAACTTCTTGGAGCAGGGGTCTGTGCCTTATAACTCTTTATATCCTCAGAGCCTAGCACAGGGCCTTGTACAGCCTAGCACAGGAGATTCACAAAACTAATGTCTGTTGGTGTTATGTTTGCTCATCTCTCTGGTCTTCAGAGTACTAGGCATACTTTTTTTGTTTTTGCTTTTGTTTTATTTAGAGTTGGGGTCTCACTCTGTTGCCCAGGCTGGAGTTCAGTGGCATGATCACAGCTCACCTTCTGCCTCAGCCTCCCAAGTAGCTAAGACTACAGCTGTGTGCTACCATGCCCAGATAACTTTTTAATAACTTTTTGTAGAGATAAGGTCTCATTGTGTTGCCCAGGCTGGTCTTGAACTCCTTCCAGAGTCAAGTAATCCTTCCACTTTGGCCTTCCAGAGTGCTGGGAATATAGGTGTGAGCCACTGTGCCTGGCCTATTTTTAATTTTCTATTACAAAAAATTTTCAAACATGGGCAAAGTTGAAAAAATAGTATATATATTACCTACATTCAGCAATTATCAGTGTTTACCACACTTGCTTTATTTTCCTACCCTCCCATTTTCTGAAATATTTTAAAGCAACTTTTAATGATATCATGTCATTTCAGTTTTGCATTTTTAAATAAGTACCTTAAAAAAAAATGGACTTTTCTTATAATGACAAAAATTAAGATTAATTATTTGATATAATCTAAAGCTTAGGGCATATTCAAATTTCTCTACTTGCCCCCAAAATATCTATTTATAGTTGGATTATCAAGTCAGGATCCAAGTAGAATATAAATACTGCATGTGATTATGTCTTTTAAGTTTCTTTTAATCATCTTTTTGCTATTTTTTTCCTCATATTGCTGATTTGTTAAAGAAAATGGGCCAGTTCTGTAGAATATACCACTTTATAGGCTTATCTTTTGACTCCTTAAAATATTATTTAAATTGTTCCTCTATTCCTCTATTGCCTGCTAACTGGAAGTTTTTCCTAAAGGTATGATTAGTTTCATTTCAACTTTTTATAAGGTAAAGAAATTGAGGAACAGAGTGTACCTGGGGCCTCTTGGGGAGTCAGAACTATAGTCCACAGTTTCCTTTTGTACCTGTGGTTTTTCTCTGGCTCTGAAGTCTATAGGAGACAGTGATGTTGGCTTGATCTTTCACCTCCTTCAGAGCAAACTAAGTGGAACTTCATGTTCCTTCTGTCAACAGGAAGTAGGGTACCTCTTATTTCTGAGATGGCTTTTCTTATCTCCACAGTGTTTTCCTGAACTGGGATCCCCCCACCATGTTACCATCTACGCCTGACCCTACTCACCAAGTATCAGAGAAAACACCATCAGAAGAGCATTTGCCACAGGCTGCTTCTTACATTCCAAGGAAAGGGCGTCTTCACAAGAATGGCCTCCATTTCTCAGGCCAGGGGCAGCTCCACACAACCAGAGGAGCCTCGGCCAGGAAGGGAGCTTCATCTCCAGGAACTCTTCTCACTGTGAGCTCCAAGTCTGTCAGCATCCAGGAAATAGAGAGAGTGGGTAAACAGCCCCTTCGGATGATATCCCAGAGCTTAGCATCTCTGAGCCAGTCGGCCAACCAGCTAAAGCTGAGGGATGAACCAAAGACCCTCACCTCTGTCACCCAGACCAAAAGGACTAAGGGACGCACACAGGCTGAGTGGCGAAAAGAAAGGACCTTTGGGACCCACAAGGCTGCTAAGGGAGCAAGTTGCTGTTCCCCATATCCTCATGGACCCAAGCCAGCAGCTGGATGTGGAAAGGCAGCCAAGACTTTTCGGGCAGAATATAAACCACCTTCTCCTAGTAGGGCATCAAAAAGGCACCAGAGGATGCTGGCAGCTAGGGTCAAAGACATTACCAAAAAGTCCTCTCATTTGCCTCATGGCAGTCCTTTGAAGAGACAACACAATCCAGGAGACCCAGACACCATGGCCCCACTCACAGATTTCAGCCCAATAGTGGATAATGCAAGAGAAAAAGATGATGATTTATCTGACACAGATAGCAGTTACTCAGTGGATTCTCTCTCCTGTGTCTATGCCAAAGCCCTGACAAAACCGTTAAAGCCAGAGCACTTGCAGGGGAAGAAGTGGGATCTCCCAGAGCCAGAAAATTCTGAAAGTGATGACAGCCAAATATCTGAGGACTCACTGGCTGAGAAGGGATACCAAAGCCCAAAAGACAGTCCAAGGGGCAGTCATCCTACCAATGACCCTGGCCACCCCAGGACCAGAACTAAAGCCTCTGTGAGGGGCTTCACTGTGCCCTTACATAGTGACCTACTTGCTCAAGCTCACAGGAGCATTTCCTTGGATAGCCTGATTGATGCTGAGGAAGAACTGGGGGAAAGTGGAGAAAAAGAGCCCTTCTTTGGTTCAGCTGATGAGATACCCACGGAGACTTTTTGGCGCCTGCAGAACTCCAGTCTGCCTGTGGTGGACCAGGAAGCAATGTGTAGGCTTGGTCCCATCAACCACAGAACAGAAGCTAGGCTGGATGTCATCCTGCCAATGAGCAATTCGTTTTATCTAGATCCCCAGTTCCAACCCCACTGTAAGCAGGATGAGTCAGAAGTAGAGGCAGGCTATTCTGAACAAGCCAACATCGTCCAAGGCCTGCAGCCTTCAAGAGAGAGCCCGCTCTTGTCCATGGATTCCTGGTTCTCCTGTGACTCTAAGATCAACCCCAGTAGCCCCCCAGGAATAGTGGGTTCTTTATATTCGAGTTCTGATGTGCAGGAAGTTCAGCCTTGCAATGAAGGGAGGCCTGGATACTGTCTAAATACTGAAGAACTAAAGCCATTAGGTGCAGAAACAGTGCTGCTGTATAGCTCCAAAATGCCCCAAGTTGGTACTGAGCTACCCTGTAGCGTAAGAGATGAGTATACAACCTCTGCTTTTGATACATCCAAGATATCTCTCTGGAGAACTCAAAGATTTCTTCAACCAGGAGCTGAAGACACCTTTCAGGGCAGCTATATCCCTGACATGACCCAGCAGGGCAGCTCTGAAGCATGCCACAATTCTAGTGTGTCAAGTGTTCTGGCTGCCTCTACTACCTCATTCACTCGTGAAGGCAGTGCTCAAGAAAGAGATTGGGCTACCCTTCAGCAAAAGTACCTCCTTGAACTCTCTAATCCTGTTTTGGAGGCCATAGGTGAGCCTGAATCAGCTTTCCCTTGCCATGAGGAAGAATCTGGTTCCCTGGCCCAAGCTTCTGGCAAAGGAGAAGATACTCTATTGCCAGTTGGTTCTAGGGTGTCTACCAATCTGAATTTCAACAACTTCTCAGTCAATTTGTCCAGAATTAGACATTTGAGAGCAGAGAAAGAACAGGGCAATTTGAGTGCCAAGTTAGAAGGTGCTTCAGATTTCTTTAGCTTTAGTGAGAAAGAGGTGAGTTATAACGAAACTTATTCAGCAGACTTAGAATCATTGGTTTCTGAATCTACAAATGTACAGGTCTTTGTAGCAGAGAACAAGATACCAAATTCCATGATAGAAGCATGTGAAATTAAGCAGAACAACTTAGAAGAGTGCTTTCAGGGAAAAAGGAAAACTGGACCGATGACTTCCTCTGATGAGTATTTTTTCCAGAAGAACACTTGTCACAATAATGTCGCCACAGCTACCAAAGCAGACCATTGGCCTCAAGGCTGGGCTCCTCTCAGGAAAAATCATATAGTCCAACCAGGGCAATTAAGTCCCAACAGAAAGGGCCATCAACCCCTACAGAAAGAGAAGGAAGATTGCCAAGAGAGTGCTAAGGAAGTAGTTGGAAGACACACAGATGTTTCCTTTGCCTTTTCTTCAGGTCCAGAGCTATACCTCCGCTCTGCTCCTTGGAATTCATTCTCATCCTCCCTGCATCCACCTCTCTTGAAAACATTCTATGTGACCAAAAGCAGGGATGCCCTGACAGAAACTGCCCTAGAGATTCCAGCTTATAGAGAAGTAAGGGTGCCTTCCCCACCCCCCAGGGAAGCCTGGGGCTTTGGGCACAATGACCAAGTCCTCCAGAATTCTTATTCAGAGAAGAAGTTGCCAGGGCTGTTACAAAACCAGAGTTCTAAGATTACTTCATCTCAGGAGGCCACAGCAGAGAGACCAGTTGATCTGAATACTGGGGAAGTTATTGGAGAATTAGGTAAATACCCTGGAAATAGTAATGAAGAAAGCCATGATTCAGTTTATTTTTTTGTTGCTCAGGACAGACATTTTCTCCCTTCTGCAAGCACAAAAGTATGTGAATTTGAAAATCAAGATGGAATTCTAAACAAAAAACACAGTCTTCCAGCATTTGAGGAAGAAAAGGCCACTGTGCAGTCATGTTGCAGTGTTTCACCAGATAGCGCTGGGTCTGGGAAGCCTCTCCTCCTCATTTGTGAGTCTGAGACAGGTGGGGAAGAAGAGCAGAATCAGAATACAGTTCTAAGGCAGACCCAGACCTATGATATAAAGAGACAGTTTCCTTCTGGGGCCAGGTCTGACTTGATCTGTGAAACCATCAATTTAGGCCTTGAGAGGGACCTGCCAGGCGAAACTGCTGTTTCTTTGATGTCCAGATCAGTATGTAATAGAGTGAACAGCCCAGTGATAGTGGTCCAGGATGAGAGTCCAACCCACAAGTGGGAAGAGAAGAGTGAAACTGGTTTTCTTGGAAAAGCTCTTTATCCCAAAGACAACTCAGAAGAGTTTAAACTTCCAGGGACAGTGTCTACATATGAAAGATTCCAGTTAGTTACATGCTCCCAGGAAAGAAACTCCAGTGAATGCAAGGCCCCTGGAAAGTTACAAGAAATGTTAAGCCCCAGAGAAGAACCTTCTGGAAATAAACAGAATAAAAAAGTTAATAATGCTGATGAAATGGCTAAACTAATTAGGAGTGTGATGCAGCTGGAAAATGGCATCTTAGAAATTGAATCCAAGCAGAATAAGCAACTTCCCGCTTTCCACACGTTGGGAGTCAATAAGAAGTTTGTGTTCCAGGACCAGAAGGATCAGGAGAAGGCTGACCCTGTCCTTGGGCAAGGCAGCTCTGGAAGCCATTTGTCCTTCAAGGATCAGCCATCTTTTCCAAGAAAGACAAAGGATGTTATCTTTAGGGACAGTGAAGCTAGAGAAATGGAGGTTAACAGTAGCACTGGGAACAATTCCCAGAAAAACCCTTTCATGTCAAAGGAGTATGTACAAGAGAGTGCATCTGTGAGAGAGCACATACACACAGCTGGATTAGACAGATCTGCCAGGGACATGTGTGATTCTTTAGGGACATGCCCAGAAGAGTTCACCAACCCTTCTCCTTACCCAAGGAGAATGAAAGCATCGGCTAGAGCTCTGCCATTGCAGCCCAGGCCAGAAAGGTCTTCTGAGAATGATGGTAAATTGCTTAGAACATCTGCAAGCCTCAAAGGGCAACCTTGGGACTTAAGATGTCTTGAGGAATTGGAGACTGTGAAAGGTTTTCAGGAAAGTCAAATTGTAAAGCACATAAATAGTTCCAAGCAAGAGGAACCAAAAGCTCAAGGCAGAGTTGAAGAAATGGCTATACAAAGGAGTGGTAGCCTGCAGGATGAGAATAATATGGCCTCATTGACTCAGAAACTTCCTAGTCCAAGCCAGCTTTGTATGGGCACACTTTTTAGCTATGAGATGGTCTGTCCATTACTGAGCCAAATAAACCTCTCTACAGATCCTTCTCACCAAGACCTGAGTAGTACCTTGCCCTTGAATTCTCCAAGGCTGCCACGAAGCTGTCTTTATGCACCCGATGCCGCAGGCATCTCTTCAGTTGACTATATACTAGATTCCACAATATTGAAAATTCCTAACAGTCCCTTGGTGACTGGAGTAGAGCATCAAGACCAGAGTGGAAAGACTAGAAGCCAAAGCCCCGAGGGAGATGTTATTAGTGGCTCCTTTGTGGCACACACTGCTTGGTGTGGGTCTGTGATATCCTTGGCCATGGGATCTCATGATCAGTCGGGTGCACCAGAGAGTATTCCCCTGCGGGGAGAGAACAGGACATCAGCATGCACCAGCCCCCAGGACCAAGGAGGGAGCCTCAGAATCACCTCAACAGGTTTGAGTACCACAGAAGGTTTTGCTTCTGAAGCTGAGAAGACTGTACAAAAAGAAATAGGAGGCAGTTCCCTGATAAGGGTCTCTAGCCAGCTTGAAAAGAGGGTCAGCTTCTCCTTAGAAGAGAACGATGACCAAGGCAGGGAAGCAAGGCAGAAGGAGGCCAAGGACCTCAGACTTACGAGCAGTGCTTTCTTAGCACCTGTTTCACTGCCAGGGGTACCTAATCCAGAACCTAGGCTATTGGAACCCTCTGTCAACATATCCGTGTGCCCAGCTATCTTGGAGGAGAGCAGACAGGCAAAGGCCCAGAGAGAGCAGCTTAATGATTTTGTGACTGGAGGGACAATTCTTCCTTACTATGAAACTTTAATAGAACCTGAATGTTCTTTACAGGTTGCTGGCAGGCCTCAGTGTAAACAAATGGACCAGTCATTGTTAGACAGGACTAGGAATGCGGGTGAAGCTCAGGGATTTTGTGTGACATCTGTATCTGCTGAACCAGGACATCTATCAACTGAAGAGAAGAAAGTCCTGGCCACACCCCTCTCTGAAGACTGCTTTCAACCTCTGCCCAGTACTGAAATTGATAGAGGGTCATGGCATCCTGCACAGGCCTCCTCCCATACTGTCCCTGCTCTAGACAAAAAACATTGTACTGGAGAACTGATACATTTCCTGGGAGCAAGTGAACCATTTATATATCACTCTAGTTCTTCTGAAATCACAGAGAAAAAGAAAGAAGCAGCCAGAACATCTTCTGCTGATCCTTTGGTTTCCGACAATCTTCTTTCTTTAACACCTGTGGAGGGGGACAGGAGGGTGATATCAAAGGAGGTGATGACTGCCTTATCTTCTCAGGCCCTTTGTGATGATCCTGGAGTGATTCTGCATGGGCAAAGTCAGTCAGTTCCATGGGAGACTGCAGAGGGCCTGCCCCCTGGCAGCCAGGACAGTAGCCCAGAGCACCAGGAACCCAGAACTCTAGACATCACACACGGAGGAGGGTCCAGTGACTTCTTAGTGTCTGTACAGGGAGAAAAAACTGCCCATTTTGGAAGTCATTTGGTGATCTGTGATGTTCAGAATTCTACAAGTCTCTCAGGACCTAAACAAGACCATGCCCAGTGCCTTGAGGCTTCCTTTGGCTTAGAAAGGAGAACAAGTCTCAAACAAGGTACTGTTCTGCCTGGAGCCCTGAGAAGGGTTGAACTGGAAGCTCCTGCACAGCAGTGTGTGCAGTGGAAGGAGAGTGTTAAATCTGGGCTGACAGAAGCCTGCAGGGCTGGCAGCAAACATCCCAGGCCAACTCCATTGCCAGATCAAAGACCTAGCCCACATCCTGGGGGAGTTAGGGAGGAAGCCCCATGCAGATACCCACAAGAAACTTTAGATTGCCTTGTTTTCTCAAGAAGCACTGAAGGCAGCAGGACTCTTATTCCATCTAGAGGGGAAGAAGAGAGCAGAACTCTTCCTTGCCAACAGCCATGTAATTCTCAACCCACTGCTACTCATGCCTGTTCCACCCATTTCTCCACTTTACTGTGTTATAGAGATGGTAACCTAGAGAAGGAGACTTTCAAGGCTGCCCCACATACTGTCTACTCATCCTGTGTGGTACCTTCCATGGTCTGTAAAATGGATGAGAGAGGAGAGAGCTCTTCTGGGGAACCTGACATGCACTTGGCACATGGCCTTGAACCCAAAGACATTAATAAGGAATTTAGGCCAACAGAGAGTAGCACTCTTGAGCCTTCTACTGTGGCTGCTGTCCTATCTCCAGCTCCAGGCTGCAACTTCCCTTCTGCCCCTGATGTGAGGACAAGTTCCTTCAGCCACTCAGCAGCTGGTGAAAATTCAAGGTCAGTAGAGGTTCTAGGAAAAAAAGTTGCTGAGAAGAAAGCCAGCACAGCACTTGAGGCTGTCCCTTTCCTTGCAGACATGTACTCTGAGCCACTGAGGCAGTTTCAGGACAGCTCTGTAGGTGGCCTGAATGCACAAATGTCTCAAACCAACCCAAAACCACCTGCAACAACTCAGGGACCACACACCCTAAATTTAAGTGAAGGGTCTGCTGAGAGTGAGCCAGTGGTAGACCCCCAGCATAGATGTTTAGAAAATATCATCAGATGTGTTTCAGAAAAGCCACAACTTTCCACTGAATCTAGGGCTCACAATTGCTTGGGTCCCCAAGCCAAGTTTGTAGCAGGGTTAAAACATACCTGTAATCCCCAAGATGACAAACCCTGGGAGGAGGAAGAGCAGCAGAGAGACCAGGATTTAGGTAGTGGTAAAGTCCCTGCCCAGAGTAGGAATCCTCCATTTTCTGAGGGTGACCTGGATCGCTGTCAGATTATAGATGCTGGAAGAGAGGAGGTAGCTGAGTCCAAGACTTTCTCATTGGGCTTTGAAGACCTAGCCGCTGTGCCCTCGAAGCAGCCAGCCCTCCACCACAGGCGCTCACTTCCTGTGATTGCAATTTTTTCTGGCCCCAAGCACTCTAAGTCCTCCCCCACACCACAGTTCTCAGTGGTCAGCTCATCTCGATCTCTTCAGGAGTTGAACTTGAGTGTAGAGCCTCCCTCCCCTACAGATGAGAATACCCAGGGGCCTAACAGATTGTGGAACCCACATCTCACGGACTATTCCTCTGAAAAGTCAGTGGCAAGAACGTCCATGAAGGTGGAGGACTGCAATCAGAAAGCCTTGTCTAACTTGGGCGATGGCACTGCTGAACACAGGCCCCTGAAACCTGCCACCCCTCCTTACCCAACATCTTCTGCTCTCTCACACATGCCAACCCCAGATATAATGACCAACTGGATGTCTGGTTCTTTGGAACAGTTCCAGCAGGGAAAGCCAGAGAAACTGGGTCTGCAGATCAGGCCAAAGAAATTGTGCTCTCAGGTGGACAAAGGAATGTTGCACTTTGGCTCCAATGATATCAATCCCTCTGTCCTGCCCTGGTGTCCAGAGGAGCCTGTGCGTATTGGCTGGAAGCAGTATGTGTTTGGCAGTGCAGCTGATGTCTCCTGCAGCCAGAAACCCCAGGGCCTGATACCATCAAATGTGGCCCGGTGCTCCAGCATGGACAATGGCCTAGAAGATGAGAACTCCTCATTCCATTTCCACCACAGCACTTATGCCAGTACACGGGATCTGTCAAGCACACACAGCAGCATTGACAATGCCCAAGGTTCAAATGAGGCCAGAGAAGTATGGAATTCCTCATTTCCCTTGGGAGGCCCCCATGTCCTGACTGTTCCTGAAGAAACAGCCCCCATTTCAGGTCCTGACAAGAGACCCCAGTTCAAGGGCTCCCCTGGTGAAACAGACTGTGTGGGGAGTGAACCCCTCTTGGCTGAGAGAAGTCCTGCAGGTCCAGTGGATGAGATTATGTTGCTGTATCCATCAGAGGCAGGCTGTCCTTTGGGACAGGCCAAGACGAACACATCTGAGCTGGGCACAAAGACCCTGGATCGCAGGCTCCATGGGAGCTGTACCGATGTCTCCTCTGCTCAGCCTGAAGCCAGTGCAATGTCAGCCTCTGATCTGGCCTCATGGACCAGCATGCATAACTTGTCTCTCCACCTCTCACAGCTCCTGCACAGCACCTCAGAGCTTCTCGGGAGTCTTTCCCAGCCAAGTGTGGCCGAAAAGGAGCAGAACACCAAGAGGGACACCCCAAGTGAGGCTCCACTGGCCCTGATGATAGACAGCTCTACTCAGACCACTGTGGATGAAGGCAGTCAGACTGACCTGGCCTCACCCGCTCTGTGCCTCCAGACCTCAGAGTCCAAACCTCAAACAGTCAATGTGATCCTTGAAGTGCTGGGCTCGGATATCTCAACTGTGTCTCAAGAAAAGGGAGATATCCTAGGGGCACCTCAGAAGACAGAAGCAGAAGAAACAGCGCAGAAAATGATACAGCCCGCACATCTTCAGGAAGAAAAAACTCACCACAAGCCCCAGAGCACTCCAGTATCCTCATCCCACCTGAAGTTTCAGAAAACCCCCCTCAGGCAGAATGTTCCTTCTGTGAGCCCCCCAGTTTCTGATGCTTTTCTGCCTCCCAGCTCCCTGCCAGAGGAATCCTCTTGCATGGTTGTCAGCAGCCCCAGCCCCTCTTACTTCCCAGGGCACCTCCCTAATATTTCAGAGTCCATTGAGGAGCCTAGGGTCCAGAAGAAGCTGGGCTCCACAAGTGCCTTGCTGGTGGACAGGGCTTCCTCTCCAATCCTCACTCTTAGTGCCAGCACCCAGGAGTTAGGTCTCCCCTCAGACTCTTTGACTCCCTCAGGCCCCTCAGCTTGCCTTCTTGATTCCAGCCCAGACCTTCCGCTTGGTGCTCCCGGGCCTCCACTGGATACTTATGCCCAAACCACAGATGAGCCAGGGGGCTCTCACAGAGCTGAGACTCTGGCTAGAGAAGGTCGAAGGCCCTTAGAAAGGAATGATGGGAGGTCCCTTCTTGAGTTGAGCTTCCCACACAGCCCACAACAGAGCCCAAAACTCCAAGTTAGTTTCTTAGGGCAGCCACCTCAGCAGCCTCAGTCCAGGACTACCATCGGGGTCCAGAGCAGACTGTCACCTCCACCACTGGGGCACGGGAGCCGGAGGCTCGCCGACAGCTTTGTGCCCGAGGAAGTGGCTTCCCTAGAGCGTGGCCCACTGAATAATAGGGGGCCAAGTCAATGGCAGAACAGGATAGAAAATGGGAGTGAGCGTTCAGCATTTCCAATGGAGCCACACCCCACTCTGGACCTGTCTTCGTGGCGAGGCCTCCAGCATGTCAGTCCTTGCCCTACCTCTGAGTTGGCTAATATCGCAGGACTCCGAGGTTCGGCCTTGGGCCCACCTCAGGTCTGCCACCATGAGGGGTTGCTGCAGCCCAGTTGCCAGATGTGCATGGACCCAGAGCCCCAGCATCACAGCCTGAGGGACCTCCCAGTACATAACAAATTTAGTAACTGGTGTGGGGTTCAGAATGGCTCTCCTGGGGGGCTGGGTGTGGCCGAGGAGCTGGGGGCCAGCTGTGATCTCAGCTCTGGAAAGGAGAGCCAGAGGCCTCCACAACCTCTTGATGACCAGAGCCAGGATCCTGAGTGGCCCCAGAGGGCGCAGATTCCCCTGCAAGTTGGGACCCAGAACCTCTCACTCAGCGTGGAACTCGCAGAAGCAAAACTGCACCATGGCTTTGGGGAGGCAGATGCCCTGCTGCAGGTGCTGCAGAGTGAGACAGGGGAGGCGCTTGCTGCTGATGAACCTGTGCTGTCCACCTGGGAGACCCTCTGTGCTGGGTAAGAGCCTCAGCCTGGAGTTGGGCACGGGGTGGGCTGAGAGGAAAGGGAACCCAACCCAAGCAAATTCATAGATTGCTGTTCCCTCTGTCCTTGTTCATCCTTGGGGTCTTCCAGGGGTCAGAGCTAGAATTGAAGGTGAAGAGCATTCAGGGCCAGCTTCAGTGAAGCAATTACATTTCACCTCAGGCAAAGAGAAGCCATCGAGACCCTGAGGAGAGAGCGGGCTGAACGACTGAGAAACTTTCGCCGGACACGAAGCCTCAGCCCCCAGAAACAACTGAGCCTTCTGCCCAACAGAGATCTTCCCACCCGGGACCTTGACTTGCCCAGCAGGCGCCGAGAATACCTGCAGCAACTGAGGAAGGATGTGGTGAAGACCACCAGGTAGGGGTGGACCCCGAACACTGCAGGGAGCAGCCTCTGTGGGTGGGAAGGGATTGTGGGGAGCAGGGGCTGGAGATTTAGCATACTGGAGTGGTCTCTATGCCTGTGTACAAATGGAGGGAGCTGTGGGAGACTGGGGTGAATGGAAGGCAGGAGATGTGAGAGGGCGGGGGTGAGGGAGGCAGGGCAAAGGTAAGTCACAGGAAAGGATGGGCAGAGGGACTCTAACATGCTATGCAAGTCTGCAGGCCTAAGCCTCAAAATGGCCGGTTTCCATTTGTCCAGCAGCCTCTCCTGAGGATGTAAAATCAGATTTTAAGACCTTGTGGGCAAAGGGAGGATGGGTCCTTCAAGAAGGCGGTGATAAGCTAGCCTCTGGTGGGCAGGTCAGGGCTATCACCCACCCACCAAGTTAGAAGGTATTTTTCTGCCCTGTGATCTTCCTCAGAAGCCCAGAGGCAGTGTCAAGGTCTGCTCACCCACCCTCTGATATAGAACTGATGCTGCGAAACTACCAGCGGGCCCGTGAGGAGGCCAAGGTGGAGATTGCCCAGGCCCGGGATCGACTACGGGAGCGGACTGAACAAGAAAAGCTGAGAATCCGCCAGCAGATTATTTCTCAGCTGTGGAAGGTGGGGGGTGGGGTGAGCCTCTGGTCTCAGGATAGGCCTCTAGAGTGTGGGGCAGACCTCAGACTGGGGGGGTCTGCCTTCATTGTGGCTGCTCCTGAATCTTGGGACATAACATTTGGAGGAGGGAGTGAGAACCTCTGGTGCCAGCTCAAAGCTGGGCTCACTCTCTCTTTACACTCGCATCAGACCATCTCCTGTCCTCAGGCCAGAGCCTGGGATGAAGAGACTTTAGTGTGTGTGTGTGTGGGGGGGGGGTCATGGGGAAATGTGAGGAGCTATGGCTTTGGGCAAGCATGGAGAGGTGTGAGGCTGTCAAGGAGGCCATATGAGGTAGGTAATAGGAACTGTAGAAGTGAGAAGAAGTGGTTTGGGGTGGGAGGGTGCATCCAAAGCCTGGTTGATGATTTGTCCTTCCCAGGAAGAGGAAAAACTACATACCCTGGTCAACTCCAGCTCCCTGTGTACCAGCTCCAATGGAAGCCTCTCGTCTGGCATCACCTCTGGCTATAATAGCAGCTCAGCCTTGTCGGGCCAGCTCCAGTCCCCAGAGAATATGGTGAGTAGGCAGATGCTGGGAACCAGACAGGGGCCAGCACTGCTGAGCTTCTGAGGCAAGAGTTTGGGCAGGACATTCTGTCTCCTGGAGGCCTCTGCTGACATGCAGGCCTTTGGTTTTCCCTTCAGTTCTGCCTTCTCCTCCCTCTGCGTATTCATTCAGAGTAATAGCAGTGAGTAAAACCATTCTTGTCCTTAAACAGACTCAAACATGAGGGATAAATGTTAAATAGCTTATTTTATGATTATTTGATTATTGTTGCAATGAGTTGTTTGTAGAAGACGTGCTCAGCCAGCATGAAATGGGTCTGACCTGGTATGGAAGGTAAGTAGAGATACTCTGAAGAGTTGCGCTTAAACTGAGACCAAAGGGTGAGAGGTAGTTCCTGCAATAAAAGCTTAGTGGTGCTATTGTTGGGAGAGATGTGGGCCCAGCCAATGAGGCCTTGAGGGACTAGTGTGGCTGGAATGTAAAGAATGAGATGGGAAAATGACATGAGAAAGGACTAGGAAGGCCCGTTCATGTAGACTATACTGAGAATTCTGGCCCCTTTCTAATCCACCTGATCATGTTACTTCCAAAAAGTGAGAAACCTGCTGGAAGTGATGGAAAGCTTTTAAGTTGGGAAAGTGATGGGAAGCTTTTAATGATCGGACTGTAAGAGGAGACAAGATCAGCTGTGGGGAGACCTGTTCAGATGACTCTGGCAAAGTTGAGGAAGAGATGATTGCATGGCTTGGGGCACTGCAGTGAAGATGAACAGATGTGGGTGCGAAGAAGAGAGAGCATCTGTGGACTCGGTGACTGTTTGGATGTTGGGAAGGGAGGGGGAGGAGTCGAGAACAGCACACGCTTAAAAATTTTTTTTAAATTTTAGCTTCAGAGGGTACCCAATAGCCACCCCATCCCCCTTACTTAGGAGTCCCCATGTCTGTTGTTCTCATCTTTATGTCTGAGTGTACTCAGAGCAAACACTTTTGACTTGAGCAGCTGCGGGGCAGTGATGTAAACAATGCTGAGGTACACTGAAGGGAGGACCACTTTTGTGAGGAAAATCATGAGTCTGGATTTGTACTTACTGGGCTGAAGGTGTCTGTGAGAAATCTAGGTGGAACAGTTAGAATCAGGTAGACAGTTAGAAATACATATCTGGAGCTCATAGATAGGACCTGGCTGGGAATAAATGTTAGAAATTCATTTTATAAATTAAAAAACAGCAGCAAAGGACATGCATCAGGTGCATCTTTGATTCTCTTATCTGCCTTCCCCAGAAGCAGTCATCTATCCCAGTTTGGTGCATATTTCCAGGGATGTTCTATGCATCTGTATGAATATGTATATCTTTTTGTAAGCCACATGAATGGAAGCATATGGCACTCACTTTGTCACTTTACTTTTTCCCCTTAAAAATATCTTTTGGACATCATTGCATATCAGTAAATCTAGTGCTGACTTACTCTTTTTAACAGCTGAGTAGTGTTTCTTTTTCCTCTAATTGCATGTTTTCAGTGTGATGTTTTTATTTTATTTTATTTTTTATTTTTTATTTTTGAGTTGGAGTCTCACTCTGTCACCCAGACTGGAGTGCAGTGGCCACTCCCGGCCACCGCAGCCTCGACCTGCTGGGCTCCGGCGATCCTTCCGCCTCAGCCGTCCAAGTAGCTGGAATTACAGGCATGCGCTACCACGCCCGGCCAATTTTTTGATTTATTGTAGAGATGAGGTCTCACTGCCCAGGCGGGTCTCGAACACGCGGGCACAGGCAATCCACTCACCTCAGCCTCCCAAAGGCGCGGGATTACAGGCTGAGCCACCGAACCCGGCTAGTGTGATGTTTTATATAGATAATATATTCATATAGTATAAAAGGCAAAAATATATACATTGAGCATCCCTAATTCTTAGATCTGAAATCAAGAATGCTCCAAAATCCAACACTTTTTAAGCACCAACATGATGCCGCAAGTGGCAAATTCTTTTTTTCTTTTTTTTGAGTTGGAGTCTCACTCTGTCGCCCAGAGTGGAGTGCAGTGGCCGCTCCCGGCCACCGCAACCTCGACATGTTGGGCTCTGGCGATCCTTCCGCCTCAGCCTTCCGAGTAGCTGGAATTACAGGCGCGTGCTACCATACCCGGCTAATTTTTTGATTTTATTGTAGAGATGAGGTCTCACCTGCCCAGGCGGGTCTCGAACCCGCGGGCTCAGGCAATCCACTCACCTCAGAAGTGGCAAATTCTACACCTGACCTCATGTGATATGTGGTAGTCAAAACTTTGTTTCATGAACAAAATTATTTAAAATATTGTATAAAATTACCTTCAGGCTATGTATAAAGGTGTATAAATGAATTTTGTGTTAAGAGTTGGGACCTAGCCAGGCTCGGTGGCTCAGCCTGTAATCCCGCGCCTTGGGAGGCTGAGGTGAGTGAATTGCCAGAGCCCGCGGGTTCGAGACCCGCCTGGGCAACTTGGCGAGACCTCATCTCTACAATAAGTCAAAAATTAGCCGGGCATGGTAGCGCGCGCCTGTGGTTCCAGCTACTTGGAAGGTTGAGGTGGAAGGATCGCCGGAGCCCAGCAAGTCGAGGCTGCAGTGGCCAGGAGCGTGCTACTGCCCTGCAATCTGGGCGACAGAGTGAGACTCCAACTCAAAAAAAAAAAAAAAGTGTTGGGACCTAGCCCCAAGATATCTCATTATATATATGCAGAAATTCCAAAATCCTTCCTCAAAACTTGAAGTCTGAAACACTTCTGGTCCCAAGTACTTTGGGTAAGGATTACTCAACATGCTTAAAGGAATATAGGGAAATACCCTCCCAACCCCCAATCTGCCTGGCCCTTCTCCCTCATCCCACCAAGGTTAAAACAGTGGGGGATTCTCAATGGGGGATTCTCTTAGAGCTCTTTATGCATACAAAATCAAGCATATTATACCACTGTTCTATACCTCATCTTTTTTTCACTCAGTATATTTTGGAGCTCTTTCTATTTGAATGTGTGAAGAGCATTCTCATTTTTTCCGTTGGTGCATAGCATTCCATTGTGGAGATGTACTGTAATTTATTTAATCATATTCTAACTTGGACTGTTTTCAGTCTTTTGCTGTTATCAACAATATTTCAGTGAATAGCTGTGTGCATGTATCATTCTGTACATGGGCAAATATATCTATGGGATAAATTCTCAGAACTAGACTTGTATAAAGGGGTATATACATTTAAAATTTTGATAGATATGGACAAATTGTCTCTCACAGATATCCTCATTTATACTCCCACCAGCAATAGCTGAGAGTCTCCTTTTCCCCACATTCTCACCACATGTTATCTAATCTTTGGATTTTTCCTGAAAAATTGTATCTCATTTTTCTCATATGCTTAAATATTTGTATTTCCTTTCTCAGGAGCCATCTGCTCATATCCTTTGCTCATTTATCTTAACAACTTATGAGAGTTCTTTATTTTTTTTTTTTTATCAAGAATAGCCCTTTGAAATGAATTATATTTTTCCCAGCACTTCATTCTTTCTTGACTTTGCTTATTGCGTCTGAGTTCAATCAGATAGATATGTTTATCAGTTTTCCCTTTATGATGTCTGTTTTGAATAATAACTAGAAACACATTCTCCAAAGTTATAAAGAATTTCTACCATAATTTTCTTCTTGGACTTCTGTGTTTTTATTTTTCATATTTAAATCTGTTCCATTTGGAATTATTTTCATATATACTCCGAGGTGTGGATCCAACTGTATTCTTTTCAGATGGCTATTCAGTTGTCCCTGTCATGCTTGCTAGATAATTCATCTTTGCTTCAGAAGTTTAAGGGGTTCCCCATACCTCATCAACATGGGTACCTGCATAATGAACATTTGTATACCTAACCCTGAATTGTACCCCACATCTTTACAATTAAAAATTTTAAAAAAAGAAGTTGGCTGGGCTCAGTGGCTCGGCCTGTAATCCCAGCATTTTGGAAGGCCAAGGTGAGTGGATTGCCTGAGCCTGCAGGTTCAAGACCAACCCTGGGCAGCTTGGCAAGACCTCATCTCTACAATAAATAAATAATTAGCCAGGCGTGGTAGCGTGTGCCTGTAGTTCCAGCTGCTTGGAAGGCTGGGGCGGAAGGATCGCTAGAGTCCAGCAGGTTGACGCCAGGGTGGCTGTGAGCGTGCCACTGTACTCCAGCCTGGGTGATGGAGTGAGACTCCAACTCAAAAAAAAAAAAAGTTTAAGGGGTTTCCTTTCCTTTTACCATGGCTTAGGACAGATTATACTCTTTGATAGTGCCAGTACTCCCACTACTCTAATTGTTCTTCTGTTTCTGAGCTTTTCTGGAGTATTCTTTCTTGTTTAGTTCAGAAAAAATTAAGTCTTATTTTATTTATAATTGACATAATAATTATAAATATTTGTGGGGTACAGTGTGATATTTCAATATTTGTATACACTGTATAATAATAAAATCAGGGTAATAAATACATTTATCGCATTCAACATCATTTCTTTGCAGTGATGGTTAACATTTAAAATCCTATCTTCTAGCTACCTTGAAATATACAGTACATTATTATTAACTACAGTCACCATAGTGTGTGTCCTATTGTGTAATAGAATATCAGAACTTATTCTTCCTTTGTACCTCCTGACCAGCCGCTCCCCATTTTCCCCTTCTCCTTTTCCTCTGAGCCTCTCTGGTATAAAAATAGTGGTACAACTACCATTCTACGCTCTAATTCTATGAAATCAATTTTTTAAGATTCCTCATGTCGTGGTATTTGTCTTTCTGTGCCTGGATTACTTACTTAACATAATGTCAGCCGGGCGCGGTAGCTTATGCCTGTAATCCCAGCATTTTGGGAAGGTGAGGTGAGAAGATTGCCTCATCCCAGGGTTCGAGACCAACCTGGGCAACTTGGCGAGACCTCATCTCTACAATAAATAAAAAAAATTAGCTGGGCGTGGTAGCGTGCGCCTGTAGTTTCAGCTACTTGGAAGGCTGAGG